TTTCTCTACACAGCCGCTACACAATTCCTTTCAAATCACCTCCGAGAACATAAAACCAAGGGCAACACACGGAACGGAAATACTATTTCCCCTCGGAAACATTTCCTGTTCAACATATGTTCCGCGTATTATTTTAGATATTAGTTTTTAATCCAATCCATTTAATGTTTTCTTTAATAACAGTTGTAGTTTTTTAAAAACATTACTTTGCGTCACTTTCTGTCTGGCAATGGACACTCTAGATGGACAGTAAGTTTGTTCAGGAAAGGCAGCATATATGATCTGAGTACAAGTATCTAATTTAGCTGGAGTTGGAACTTCATAAAGAAGAAATAAAGTACTGCTTTTAAATGTTTCATTTAAGAAGGATATACTGTTACAAGGTACATGAATTTCACAGTGGAAGTAAAAAGAATATTGATCAACCCGAACCTGTTTTCTTTATGCCTGTCACTGTATCTATCACACTATACCCAACAAGATCCAGTTCTGTATTTGTTATTAATTTGGTGACCATTTCAGAGATGATCTTTAATTTCCACTCAGTAACCTTTGATTATGAGGTGAGACCTGATGTAAATAAAACAAAATCAACATAGAAAACCAAACATTTTATTTTGGCATTACAGAGCATGTATACAGACAAAACACACCATCCCTGAACATACTCCTCATTTTTACCAGCTTTGTGAACTGTCATTCTTTAAATTTTGAAACAAATGATCTTTTTGGTCCCCAGTTGTACAAGACACCCATAACTGTCTCTGCTCTTAAAATCGGCATTACGCTGACTTGACTTCATTTGGTAAACAAAGTTCAGATGTGACCTGACAGTCTTGATTAGATCCCTAAGCAACATCTCCATCCTTCACTGATGTTTACTCTTGTCCATCTCTGGCCTGGTGAGCAGTGAGATGTAGAGCCTAATGAAGGAGTAAGTAACTCCCAGTGCACAGTACACAGAAGTCAACAGCAAAGGAATGAAGGGGAGGCTCTGCTTCCACACAGTCATGGGGTAGACAAGCTCACAGAATATCTCCAGGGGCACCAGGCCAGCGAGGTAGGCGGCTTCAATAGAGTTGAGCAAGCAACCTTCTCTTCTGGGGAGACATAAGGAAAAAAACATATTTTCCATAAAGTGTGACAGTTAATCAGAAAACCCAGGACTGTTTCTGAATTTTGGTTTCTGTTGTCTGTAATGTATGTCTCAATACCCATGGAGCATAACTGGCCTAAATCATTGAAAATGTTCCACATTCTCTAGCTATTTGTCCAGGTCTCTAGGGAAGACACACATCCTAATGGAGGCAGTAGAAGACCAGCAGTCTCTTACCTGAAAAGCACCTTCAGAGATGTCAAACTGTAAAGTGTGAACATCAACATGAGAAGGATTTTGATGGGTAATTCTGCAAAACAGGAACGCAACAGTCATCACTACTGGAATGCCGAAAATGAGATTTCAATGTACATTATT